GGTATTTAAAAACTGACCAGCTTTCTTTGCTGCTTTTCCCTCCAGAGTCTCAGCCCATGGGATTCCCACAAGTAGATCTTTGAAAAGTAAAAAGTTAGCCCTGCGGAAGTCCGGGGTTGTAATCTTACTTGTTGTCCTCCTTCTACCTGGTAAAATACTAAACTCCACCATGTCATGGTCACTGTCTCCAAGGCTATTCCCAACCTTACTGTCCCCAACCAGTCATTCTTTATTCGCTAATACAAAGTCCAGCAGTGCACCTCTTCTTGTCGGTTCCTCCACTACCTGCATTAAGAAGTTATCATTCATGCACTGCAAGAGCCATTTCAACTGAACTTGCCTAGCTGTGTGGGGTTCCCAACAAATATCAGGGTGATTGAAGTCTCCCATGAGTACCAAGGAGTGTGTTCTAGAGGCTACCTCCATCTGTCTGTAGAAGGCCTCATCAACATCTTCTTGGTTTGGTGGGCTATAGTAGACTCCAACAACAGTGTCACCCCCGTTCACATGTCCCTTAATTCTTACCCCCAGGCTTTCAACCTGTTCCGCCTCTCCCCATGGACAGAACTCAACACATCTCAGTTGCTCTCATGTATAAAGGGCAACACCACAGCCTTGCCTTGTTGGTCTGTCTTTCCTAAACAGTGTGTAGCCACCCATGACAACATTCCAGTCATGGGAGCTGTCCCACCATGTTTCAGTGACTGCAATTGTATCATCGTCATGCAACCTAGTGCAGAGCTCCAACTCCTCCTGCTTATTCCCCATACTCCGTGCATTGGTATATAAGCATTTCAGAGAGGCAGTTAACCCACCAGTTTTCACTTTTGCTGTCTGACCATTCCTGGCTACTACTGTGCTTACTAACTTGCTAGTGAGTCCTGTCTTATTGTCATTGTCCACCTCAAGTGGGACAGTAGGCTGCAGACTGTCCTCAGGCACATCTCTCATGAGCCTGGTGTTATCTCCTTCCCCCTTCAAAGCTAGTTTAAAGCCCTGTCAATGAGCCCCACCAGCTCCTGTGTGAGGATTCTTTTTCCCCTTGGAGACAGGTGTGCTCCATCTGCTGTCAGCAGACCAGGTGCCATATAAACCTCCTTAGGATTAAAGAACCCAAAATTCCAACGGTGGCACCAGTCTCTGAGCCATGTATTAATCAGGTGTGTTTTCCACCCTCTTTCGGTATTTTTCCCTTCCTCTTGAGGGATTGGTGAAAACACCACCTGAACACCTGAGCCTTGGACTAGTTGCCCTAGCACCCTGAAGTCTTTTTTGAGAGTCTTTAGGCTCCTTTCTACAACCTCATCATTACCTACCTGAATAATTAACAAGGGATAATAATCAGAGGGCTGCACCAGAGCAGCAATTTGCCTTTTAATATTTCTAACCCAAGCCCCAGGGAAGCAACAGACCTCCTGGTGGGATGATTCTGGTCTACAAATGGGTCCTTCTGTTCCCCTCTGAAGAGAGTTGCCCACTACAATTACCCTCCTTTTTTTCTTAATCGAAGAAGTCTTGGTAGGCTGAAGTGAGTGACAAGCTACATGTGACTCACTAGATTGATCCTCATTTCCATCTCCATTTGGCCGGCCATTCCAAGGACCCATACCTATTAGATAGCAGTAGTTGAGAAGGTGAACGGCACCGAGAAGGTTTTTGTTTTTGTTTGCCCCTCTGAGGAGGGACCTCTTTCCATTCCCCCTTGTCCCTGATGTTCTCTCCTTCTGCCTGATGACAGGAGGGGCAGGGTTCCTCCACTTCATGTAGACCCTCTCCCTGTTGGCTTTGCCTCAGAGTGTGGCTCAGCTGATCTCACTTCCACACTCTCTGTTCCTTCCCAATCTATCTGCTTCCTCTCTCAGTTCAGCCACCTGCCTGAGCAGATCGTTTATCTGACCACACCACACACAGGCGGTGTCTCTGCCCCCTCTACCTCAGGGGCCAGGCTCAGGCACTCGCCGCACCCCGAGACCGGCACGGCCGCGTGTTTCTGCAGGACCTTGGTCTGAGTCCCCACAGTCTGCCTGGCTGCGGCTGAGCTGCCACAGTCATTCCTCCGTCAGCTCTGACCCGCGGTGCCACCCTTATCGCTTGGGCCGGGAAGGATCCAATTCCTTTGTGCCGATTCTCCCACACCCTGCTCGCCATCCCCGCCCTACGAGCTGCAGAGAGTTACAGCACCCCCGGTGCTCGCACAGTCCAGCTCTGTGGGCAGCGACCGGTCGCTGCCCTCCCACAGGGGTTTTATCACTGGCAGAACAGTGGGCGAGGCTGGTTACGCCCTCCCTTGATGGCCAGGGGCGGGGTGCGAGCACCCCGAGTGACCGCTGGGGTGTTTACACCTCTTTCAAACCAGGAGCCAGGGCTCTCTTGCTTGCTGCCCATTTGTATGTAATGGGGTTAGATGTCTTTTGCCATATATTCTTTTCACTTGTTGAGCTATCAATTTCTCAAAGGCAACACAAAAAATTACTACTTAAACACAAAGACATTTGCACATTGTCACTTCTGGTATAATGCAAATCAGGACAACTCTGGTCAGTGGAACACGCAAAGAAGAAGTAGGCGCTAAATGTGATACTTTAATTATAGTCACTACTCTCTGATAGTGTCCATGGTGCATGCACATGCTGTGTTCTATTGATCTTCAGTGTAGTGGCACTATTTTACTGTTTGTCATGGGACTGATCCACATAAGACAGTTACTATGGAATACATGAATGACTGCCTTGATCTGTGTGAACTCTATCTCAAGGGCACCAATACAATGTGGCGTTGACTAATACCATTCCTGCTTGATGTCACTTCAGTTCCAGGTTTAGTTTCATTGTGTCAATGTAATTGCTAGAACTGGACCTTCTTGTTACATCTTAAACTCTTTGTTTAAGCTTTAACTGGTGGTTGTTCTTTTGAATTTGTAGCAATGACAGGAAAATTATAAAATGCTGGTTTGGGAAAAGTAAGCAAGTTGGGTATTGATTAGAAGAATCAATGTATCCTCATCAAGTACACAACTGGAACTGAAGCTGCAGTGCTCAGTACGGTTAAGGGTATGACCGTCCTTTTAGAAGAACCTGCACAGGAAGAGGAACAGGCTGAGAAGAACATAATGGAAATCCAGGACACATGTTAAGTCCGGTACCTTGGACAGGCTTGTCCAAGGCAATGGCATGAGGTTGGGAAACTGCTCTGGTGAAAAGGACCTGTGGTTCCCAGGAGATAGTAAGCCAGCAGTGTGCCTTGGCAGTGACACACTGGACTGCATCAACAGGAGCATAGCTAGTGTATTGAGAAGTAAATATATTGGGAACTAATATCCCTCTTTCCTTGGCAACTATTAGAATGTATCTAGAATATTCAGTTTTAGGAAAGACATCAATAAGCTAGAGTGAGTTCAGCAAGAGGACCACAGAGGTGGTCCTGGGACACAGGAGGATATAGCTCTGAGGGAGCTATGCTTGTTCAGCTTGGAGGAGGCTTAAGGGGGGCCTGAAAGCAAATGTAACTAACTAGTGAGCATCTAATATCTAAAGGTGCTTACTGAGAAGATGGAGTCAGGCTCTTTACCAGAAGTATATGGTAGAAGAATGAAAAAACATGACAAAATGGAGAAAGGAGAGGGGAAAAAAGAAAAAAAAAAAAAAACCCACAAGTGGAGGTAATGAGAATTAAGCATTGCAACATTACCTGGATGTGATATCTCTGTCTCCAGTGACGTACGGCAATAGACTCTATAGCTGGGCAGTTACACAGTAGGTGTGTTTATTGCGTGCAGATGCACAGGGGATCGCTCCACCACGAACCTGCATGCCCCAAGTGGTAAATCATCTCATATTTATACAATGAAACACTGCATATTCAAATGATGCCTATACATATTCATTACCTAACCCCAAAAAAGGCAGTCTCTTCCAAGTAATCATTTCCATAGTCTGAATTGTGTCAGTTGTGGTCAGTTCTTGTCCTTGGTAAATATCTCCTCTTCCTTACTCATCATTCTTTACTGATAAGTTTGTGATGTATGTTGGTTTTAGTCCCTGAGCTCTTCTTCTTTCTTCTAGATAAGGGTGAATGTTTCTACATATGTTAGCCTTCATTCATTTATTTTGACTGTCTCAGTGAATCAGGATGTTCTGTTAGTATATCAAGGTTCATCCTGTTAGTTATTCAGTCTGTTTTTTTTTTTAAGTATTTTGTAATGGTTAGTGGAATAACTTCTTAATTCTCACCTTATATCAATAGATGTTTTCAAAATCCAAATGGATGGAGCTGTAAACAATCTGTAATTATTTCAAGCAGTAAGTTGCATCAGATGTGCTTGGAAGGGTGATAATTTCGACTCAGTAATTTCCTGGTAAAACCGTTCTTTAAAGTACCTTTTCAGAATGACGTTATGGTGGCTCATTTAGTTGTTCTGTACCTGAGCTGTTGTTGCTATTGCAACAACAAATTACTACTTTCTTGCTTGAAAGTTAAATGTTTTCCATGGAATTAAGCACATAATATGCATTTTATTGTTGATTTTAATTTTCCAGTTCTTTCTTGCTTTTCTATAAGTGTGAGTTTAACTTTTGTTTTGGCAGACCTCAGCTTTTGGTTTTGTTAAACTTGGATAGTGAGCAGCTGGTGAAACATCCTAGGCTGCTTTCTTTCACCTCCCAGTTGAAGGCTGGTAAAGGACTGACTATTGTGGGCTCTGTGCTTCAGGGAATCTATTTGGATAAATGTACAGAAACTCAGAAAGCTGAAGAGGTATGTAAAAGACGGCTTGCAAACATTTTTAACTTCCATTAGTACTTAAATGTTCAATCTGGGTAATTCGTATTTTGAATTAGAACATACTATTGTAAAGTATTGAATAAAACATCGATTTTTACTGCTAGTGCAATCGATGGTTATATATATGAAAAATAGGTTGGAGTGTGTAGCAAAATGTTATAGAAAATTTCCCAATAGAATGAGACAGTGGTGATACTTCTTAGCTTTCTGTTTTCTTTAATATTCAGTCAAACTGAGTGCTTGAAAATGATAGATTTTTAACAAATTACCTTATAAAGAGAACAGATTTTATTTAACAAAATAACATTTATCTAACAAATGCAGATTTTTGGCATCGCTTCATCCTCTGGATGTATGTGGTACTGTTTTCTGTACTGTCCTAGAAATACATAGAGATAGGATTGCAGCAAAGACTGTTCCTAATCCTACTCTGTTGCTTAACTGTAAACAGCATCCTTCTTGAGATCCTTTGTTCTTTCCCTTTTTTTTTTCATTTATGCCATATGTCCAGAGAAGGTAGAACGAGGTAGGAAAAAACAGTCAATTGTCATGTATCTTAAGATGGCATCTAACTGTGTTTACAAACACAACAAATAAATTTGAATGTTTCTCTTTTTTTCTTGACAACATGTCAGTGACTGTGCTACCAGATTGGAAATACATAGATATTTTTGTAGGAAGGCTTTGAAAATACTTGAGCTTAATTTTAAACTGTCCCCTGAGGTAAAAAGGGAAGTTAATAAACTGAGCTTCTGAAGATAATTGTGCATACAGCTTGAATTTCTAATGCAAAGCAATTTTTCTGTTTTCATCAGTCTTAAACAACCTGTGTACTTCTTTAATCTAGTACTGGGGTAATTCCAGTATAAATCATTGTATTTGCTTATCTATACAAATTCTTCTACATCAAACTTTATAGAGTGGGGAAACATTTTTAGAAAATACTGTTTCATGTATTTTTTTGAATACCGTTGAAAAAAATCTATTGCCTTCGGAAAACAACTGTGAAGTGTACTCCAAAAGTAAGCTTTGATTGCTGTTATATCTTCCAAAAAAATGTTTACTATCTTCAGTGTTGTTGAAAAGAGTGTCAGTTGAAATGCCTACTCTTTTGATCCAAGTCATCTTCAGAGTTGTGTAAAAATGCCTGTGACTTATTCAGAGCTGGTATCTCTAAAATAGATAAACATCTGAGATGCTGAAATGGACTTAACAGAGCTAACTGCCCCTTTTCTCCCAGCTTTCTTTCTCCCTCTTGATATTCACACTTGTCCCTAGTGGTTTATAAAATAAACTATAAAGCAAGATGACATAGCTGCTATCACGTGAAAAGGGTCTAAGAGAGCAATTAGCTTGAAAATGTCGTGGAAAAAATCTAGCAATGATATATTGTTTAATAACAATAATTTTCACTATTGTTATCAAAATGTGCAAGTAGAAAACAAGACCAAGAATATAATCAGACCTCTGAAATAGAACAAAATCCCTTAAACAGAAACAATTTACCCATGAGGATTTGAAATATATACCTGTAGCTGGCTTGATTTAGTAAACTACACTTTTGAGAGATGAAACAGGAATGAATTAAAGGGAGACCTAATCCCTGGGTTCTCTAGAAAGTCCAGCTTAATGTTAAGATTGAGGAAACTATTGCTTTTAAAATGGAGATGAATTCCTAAACTTCCAAATGCTCAAACTTTTACAAAATTTCAACTAGGAAATATTTTTAGAAGACTTGCAAGAAATTGAGATTTCTCCTGTGTTTTATTTTTTAAGAAAAAAGTTTCTCTTTAAACTGATAGGCCCTCACAGATATTGTTTGAACAGACAAACTTGCTAGCATGGCTACCAAATTCTCTGATAACTTTTTCTTTACTAAACGGAATTTCTGATGTGAAGCCACACTGAGCCAGTGCCAGATGTTCTATGATCAAATATATTCCTGGTGATGTTGGATAGGAGTTTTGGTGCTTCGAAAATCCCAGAATTTTGTGCTGGTGGTTCTTTCGGAAACCATGCTGATCTCCCACACAAGTCATTGGTAATAATGGGATTTTTGAAGTTGTGCCATCAAAATTGTAAATGCTAAAGCTGATGTTCTGTACTCAACCTTCATACCCTTTTGAGTGCTACTTTTAAAATCACTTATGTATCTGTATATTTGTCAGTGTTTAATGAAGGAGAGCCATGTTGAAATGAGAGGGATGTGGGTGATCTAATCTAGTCAATTTATCTTGCTGTTATTGAACAAGTGATTCCGGTTATGTCCTGCACATCTATTTTCCTGTGTTGGGAGCCGATAAATAAACAACCAGCCTCTTAGTGTCAGAGTTGTTTAAGGAGCTTTGGTGGCCTTTTCTAAAGTTCTTGGCATTGCATTTTTGCAAACCCCTACAATTCCAAAATAGGACCTGTTGTTTCAAACTTTGTCAAGTGCTTTGTCAATCAACAGTTTTGACTTTATCTGAAGCAGTGTTGTTTTATTTCTTTGTCAGTGTGGTTTTACTCTTATCTTGTTCATTCTTCTTTGGAAATAAAAGGCTGAATAATTAAGGTAATGAAAAACCTGTGGGCTGTCTCTTAGGGAGGTGGATGATCTGGGTTAGTTGTCATAGAATCATGTTCTTCTGGAATTGGTGGTTTCTTGATGTTGGTTATACACTGTAGCCAACGTTTTGCTCTTATTTAGTGCTATTACTCCCTATGACGTTCATTACCAGTGTTGATGACTCTATTTCCCCATGTGTGATCTTCATTTTGCAGAATGTTAAAGCCTTAATGGGAGTAGAAAAGACTAAAGGATTTTGCCAGATTGTGGTGTCTCCTAATTTCAGAGATGGAATATCCTACTTGATTCAGTCAGCAGGTCTAGGAGGGATGAAGCACAACACAGTCCTGATGGCATGGCCACAGTCATGGAAGCAGACAGAAAATCGTTTCTCGTGGAAAAATTTTGTTGGTACATGGTTATTTGCTTTCTCCTATGCATTTATAATAAAACTATGCAACTGAAATATTTGGGGGGGGGGGAACGGAAATGTGGGGAAATATTCTGTTGATGCTCAGCATCACATCATTTCATGTGGAGTGAGTTTTCTCAGCCCACAGTCTCTTCAGCCATGGCTGCTCTTGTTCTTCTCCTGAGCACATTAGTCACTAAACCCAGGATGTTTCGCTTTTGCTGTGGAAGAATCCATGATGATCTAAACTTCTGCATTTAAAACAAAGAGAAAAGAAAGAAAGGGAAAAAAAAAAAAGGCAGTGGATGAAAACTAGAAGTTTTTGATCAAATGTATTGTTTTCCCCTTGCAGATACTGTACGAGAAACTACAGCAGCTCAGCAAGCACTGTTGGTGGCTAAAAACATTGACTTATTTCCAACAAATCAAGAACGTTTTACTGAGGGAAGCATAGATGTGTGGTGGGTTGTTCATGATGGTGGCATGTTGATGTTACTGCCTTTTCTTCTTCGACAGCACAAGGCAAGGATAACAGAAAATGAGTGGGATTTAATTTTCTAGGAATAAGTAGTTCTAAGGCTTTCGAATGAAATACTCTTTCACCTTGATAGTTATTAGTGATAGCAATCACTGTGTTACTATTTGTTACAATGTGTTTTTCATAGGTTTGGAGGAAATGTAAAATGCGTATCTTCACTGTCGCTCAAATGGATGATAATAGTATTCAAATGAAGAAGGATCTTCAGATGTTCTTGTATCATCTTAGGCTGAATGCTGAAGTGGAAGTTGTTGAAATGGTACGTTGCTTCGTATTTTTTTTAGGCACAATTGAGACTTAACTTGGGAAAATTGATTTGGCATTTTTGAAACTACTAGATGTTAGCCCAGATGTAAGAAGGTAAAGATTGCTGTCTCACCAAGAACAAGAAGCTTTTTAAAGTAACATTATCTTACCATGTTACAAATGCTAGTGTTAGGTGGTAGTGACTTGAATGGTTTTGTTAAGTAGAATTGAGCCACTTTGTATTAATGCCTGCTTTATTTATGAGGTCTAGTCCACAGAGAATTCATTTGGAAGGAAAAAGCTTGAATTTCTAGCAGATAGTGACATGAAAGGCTAAATATGCTTAATTTAATAATACACAGGATTCAGCGTGAGAGAAGATGAACAGGTCCATCTCTCCAAGTGCTGTAGAATAAGGAGTCCCTAGGCCCCTATGAGAGTATGTCAGTGGGTTTTGGCATTGCCAGACTTTGGCACTGAACAGCAAGACAACATAGCTACAGATTCACAAGTCAAATAATGATAAAATGAATTTTGTAACTTTTTTCCCCCTTTTTAAATATTGTTTGTAAACTGCTAAAGAGAGAGGATTAAAGCTATAGTCTGTCTAGACCCATTGTGGGTGTTTTAGCAACTAAGGAAAAGCTGCATTTCCAGCATTCAAAGGTGACTAGCACGATGTCCAAAGACACACACAAAACCCCAGAACCTTTGTAAGCTAATTCTGAAGTGGGATGAAGATGTGTCAACTGGTTCAAAACTTCTACCACTACCAGTTCCACTTTCCATCTATTTATCATGCTAAAGGCCATAAAGGAAATTTTAAGAGTTGTTTAAATTTCATATGAAAAAATTGGCTTCTCAAAAATTTGGTTAGTATTTTGAACTAGGAAATAAGAGAGAACCTTTTAAAACATTTTAGTTTTTGTTTGCTTAGAGTACTGAATAGAAAAGACTAAATTGCTGTAGCATGTACGGGTGAAAGAAGACAGAGTACCATAAAAAAGGCTCAGCCTTGGTTGAATTTTGAGCAGAACACAGTATTAGGAAGTACAACTTATTCTTATGTTGCTCATTTAACCCTGAGAATCTTCCAGAAGATAAGAGACATGTTAATGAGTCAATGACAACACAGATGACTGCTATAGGTATTTCCATTGTATTTTAGCTTTGAGCCAATGTGAGAATGTATGCTGGATTTTCTTCACAAATACTTCTATTTGTGAATATATCTCACTAGTGAAAGGTCAGTGTATTATTTTGTGGCAATAGACAGTTTTTAAGGAAAAACATGTGCACACGTGCTCAGGAGGCAGCAATGCAGACCCAGTTTAAATAAGCAGTTTGAACTCTTTCTTGTTTCTGCAGCCTAGTTGGAACAGAACAATGGGAATTCTGTCTCCTTGAATGCAGCTAAAAATCACAGTGATATTGGTGCAACAAGATAGTTCATTGTAAAGTATTACTGTTTCAAGATGAGGTTTTAAGAATGGACAGAAGGACAGAAATGACTTATCAGTTACATGCTTGGGATTATTCTAATACTGTAAATACATCACGAACCGAATGAATGCCAGACCACATGTGGTACTGTCTTAACATTGTTCTGTCAATCAGTACTTCTCTTCTGATGCTACTAATGTCAATCTCTTCTGCAGTTTGAAAATGATATTTCTGCATTCACGTATGAGAAGACGCTGATGATGGAACAGCGATCCCAGATGCTGAAACAGATGCAGCTATCAAAGAACGAAACGGAAAGAGAGGTAGGGGCTTTTGCTTGGCAAGATGTTCTGTGGAATATCAAAAAGTATTATTTGTTTGCTGTGGCATCTAATCAGTTTCTAGCTTGTCAAAGGCTTTTATAACTGCTTTCTATGTTAGTTTCCCTGCAGCAGGTTCCACTTGCAAGTTTAAAATAATGCAGCCAAAAAAAAGAGAGAAACCCTTTTACTGTGCAGATATTTAGAGTTTTCCTGTTCTTGTTAGGATTAATGCAAGTATTTACTAGCAAAACCAAGCAATCTCATTATCAACACTTCTTAGTGATATAAAAGGTATTAAATGCTTCAGCTTTGCTGTCACTTATAGTGATTTCCATCCCATGCCAAATAAGAGATCTAACTGCTCATTTGTAAAATAATTAGATTTTTTTTTCCTGTGACTTTTTTTTCTACTGATAATTATAACTCATTTTATGCCTAAACCTTTTTGGTGTTAATCCTACAAGTCCACACAGTTTCCTTTTCTTTTTAAATCTCTAATTTATTTTTTTTTTCTCTACTCTGCAGGATATTTTTTTTAAGGTTCCTAAAGATGCCTTGCATTTCTGCAACAACATGCTACTATAAATCCTTTTTCTTTCTCATCTGCATCGTGGTGGTTTTCTTTTGTTAGGCAGGCTCATATCATCTTTTCAGTAAAAAATATGCTCACCTGTGTTCCTTAGTGTTAAATTTTTATTTATTTATTTATTTTCCAGTGGAGTTTGAGTGATTAATCAAGTTACAGTAAGCTTTTAAGGATTTAACTTCCTAATGAATGCTTTACAAGTAGCCTAAGGACTCTATCTGGCATATAAATTGTAGTGGGCACAACAGAATTTCTTCTCAGCTCTGAGTTGGTTGGAATAGTCTGCACTAATTCATACTGCTGTTTGCGTGGAAGACTTAGTTTCTTTTTCTCTTCCCCCCCATGTGTGGGAGTTCCGTGGGCTGGTTTTTCTGGTGGTGGTGTTGCTCACTTACTGAATGTAACTATCACCATTATGGCTTCAGTTTGTTCCTTTATATCAGGGGGGAAAAAAAAAATCAGGAAATCTGAGATGTTTAACATTTAACTTATTTCATGGTCTGAAGTAAAATCCGTAATTCCAGGAACATTTAGTGCTTATTTCCTGCCTTGTCCAAGAATAAAAGCCATATTCATCTGTTGTTTCTGATTAGGATGTCTTAATCTACCTTATTCTTCTTTATTTTCATAAGAAAATGTTGTTAGTTGTGGCTTGCTTTATTCTAGAGCTACAAGTTGAGTATATGCACTATGTGTGCCAGGCCCTTGCTTAATCTGCTCATCTCTTAAATGAGGTGACAATCCCCATTAGTTTTATGATGACTTCCAAAATGGTTCTCTCATTAGTATCACTAGCTCAAATTAGCATTGATTTTATTTTCACTGTCTCCAAATATTCAAATATAACTCTGATATTCCAGCTTTCAATAGTACTTCTCATTTTGTTTCCCGTTACCACCAAGATTTGTCCTTTAACCTCACTTTTGCACTTGTACTTTTGCACTCTTCAGACAAGGTTCAGACCTTCACAAAGAGAATTTGGTTTTGTATGGCATTCTTTTGCTATTTTCCTCTTAGACATGCTGTTATCCATAAGGAGTCGTCTTCACTCTCACCTCTTCTATCACTTTCTAAAATGGAACTTTATTTGATCTTGCCCGTAGGTTTTCTTGTGGGACTGGGGCGTGAGGACTCATCAGATTTTTGTTTCCTTTTTTTCAGAAACTTGGTTGATTTGCTTATATTTAAGCATAAATATAACACATGCCTGAGAGACTTGAGTGCAACTACCAAACATTTATTTGATTCTGACAGTAGAGCTGTAAAGATGGAAGAAAATGTAGAGCCTTGTCTCCTTCCTTGCTGCCCTTCCTGGTGGTGATTGGCTTCCCTCTCTGGCTATCCCTGACTAATGACTCGTGGGCCAGGCAGTGATATTACCAAAGCTGTGAGGCGGCTGCCAGCCACCCTGCTGCCAGCCAACCTACCACCCCTTTGTGTTGGCTTGCACAGCACAAGTGCTGTTGTGCAGATTGTTGCAGCTAGGTGAGATTGGCAGAAACGTGAGTGCACGTAGGTGAGGAGCACAATTACAGATCATGAATCACTGGGACATAGATCAGTGTTCAGAGTCAGAAAGCAGCTTTCTCATCTGCTTAATTTATTTTATATACTTTTGATTGTAACAAAATCAATTAATCTGAGGGTCATGTATAGACAAAAAAATTCAATGCACTTCATGCTTTCACAAATCTTTGTAAAGAGACTGGATAAATAGCTGCTAAACGTTTCAAAAAGAGCCTCATAGTATATATAAACAAATGGCATATTTGTGAAAGCAACCCAAATTTATAACAAACTATGATACCAAATATCTATTTAAATGAAGGCAATTGTTTTGAATAATATGATCATCTGCTTTTCTTCTGTAGACTTTTTTTTTTTCTGTCTTGGTAACCTTTCTGTCCCAGATTCAGAGCATCACTGATGAGTCTCGAGGCTCAATCAGAAGAAAAAGCTACTCCAGTCCACAGTCCATTGGCCAAGATGTACAGGCACTGCTGACTAATGATTATCAAGAGGAGGAGGTAGCTGGACATAGTACTGGCTAGATAGATTTTCTCCCATTGCAACACTTGAAGTGCCACTACTATGAGCTGGACAACAAATTAACAGCTTGAGCATTCTTTGTTATGGAATGATTCACCGAGGTAATCGGTGATTTCAGCGTGCACTTGAAGTGTTGCTCCTATCTAAAGATGATCTAGCTTAGTTTATAGAGATGCTGAATACCTTTGTGTTTCCCTTTCCTTGTAAAGTGTGAGAACATGTTGTGTTCCCTGTGATTCACTTGGTATCAAAATAGCACTAACAAAAATGTCCTTTCCTAGTATTTGCATTTTTTTAAAATGTGTATTATAGGTCCAGAATTTCTCTTGGCCTCACTGTGGTTTCAAAAGTGATGAACCTTCTTTCACTGAAAAATACCTGTACAAACTCATCTTCCAGTTGTTAATTGGAAATTTTAGTTCATTTGATACTGCTGTATGTTGTCTACCTAGTATCTGCATGTATTTGTTAGCTTTTTCCATTTTCATGATAGAACTGTATTCACAGTGACTTCTGTTTTGTAGTCCTGACTAGTGATGCAATCTGAGAAGAAACGAAGACTATCAAACAGCCATTTATGTGAACCTTGCCACTGAGCTCTAGGATTTGGGAATCCTCAAGCATAGGGACTAAGGAAATAACTTAGGAAACATACAGATGCTTTTAGGCAAACAGCTGCAATTACAGAACTATTAGGGGAACTGCTCTTCAAAGATGGAACCTAGTTTTCTTACCTGCTTTTGTTTTATTCATGCTTTTGATTGTGACCTGATTGAAATTGTTTCTTCTGAATTGTCACATATATGGAGGGATATGACCATCACTAACATGTGAATAATAGAGGTTTCCAAATGGAACAAGAGCTTCAATTAATGATTTGACATTTCTCTGAAGACATTTCATAACTGCTAAAGATCTTTCAAAAAGAAAAGAAAACCTCACCTCCCCCAAACCCAAACAAAAGCCCACAAAAAGGAAAAAAAAAGAACACCCCAAAATTCAAAAACAATCCTCCCCCCATACCAATTTATGATTTTAAGAGTCTAAGTTACTGTATTTATGTTGCTTTTGGTGGAAACACAGAAGCCTATGGACAAAGTATTATGATGGAAAGTAAGTAAAAAACATGTTAAGTATTTCTTCCCTCTTTTCTCAAGAGAAGCAAGGGGAATGAGAAATGGAGAACACAGAAGTGCATATGCATGTGGTATTGAACAATATTGTGTTCTTAAAGTTGTGATTTGAGTTTCTGCTGTTATAAGGCAAGAGAAGGCCTGTTCATGGTTAGATTGATTGGCTGTTGTTACGTAACGTGCATGTGCATGCTTAAATAATGTAATGGAATGTAGCTGGCCTTCAATGCAGCCACTCCAGTGTTGTGCTACTGGGATCATGTGAGCCATGCTTGGTAGTTCAGCTAAAGGCATGTGGAATGGTCAGGATTTTAGGATAGTATCTGAGAAAATAACAATGTAGCTGATGAAAGCCAGTGCTCTCATTCTTCAGTTTTTTTCACTGGCAAAACCCCCTGATGTTAATATAGTACCCTTAGGCTGGATTCAACATTACTTCATTTTTGGAATGAACTAATGTCCCAGCCCAGACTGTAATCCTGCAATTATAAACAAATAGCTATATTTTTACAAGCAGTTTCATTTCATGCTGAAGTCAAGACAAACTTGCATCTGTTCACAAAGTAAGGTGTGTTTTTCTGTATATTCTTTTGTTCCACTGCTGGTGAAGTTCCTTTATTAAAATTTTAATAACGTGTAATCTACAAATGCCCTTTTTGGCTGAATCTTGAGGTGATTGTTTGTTTTGTGGCCAGGCTCAGCTCATCCATGACAGAAACACTGCATCACACTCAGCTTCAGCAGTCAAAGCAAGCGTGGCTGCTACTGCACCAGAAAAAGTGCAAATGACCTGGACTAAAGAGAAGTTTGTAGCTGAAAAGCATAAAAACAAAGATTCAAATGTGTCTGGCTTTAAAGATATTTTCAACATGAAGCCGTAAGTATACATGTTGTGGTGTTTGGAGTTTGATTGTGTGTGTTTTAGTGTGGGGGGTTTTGGTGGTGGTGGTGGTGTTGTCTAGGTTCTGATTTTTTAGGAGATTTTGGTTCATGTTGAGTACAGACATGATCTTCCCATGCACTTCAATTAAATGCCATCCTTACGAAACCAGCATGGGCTTGGGTGGAGCAACTATAGAGAGAGTCATTCATAAGAACATTATGGATGAATCTTAAATATGACAGTCTTCAAGCTTTAAACTTGACTTCTGGATTGTACCAGAAAGCCTGTATGTTAAAATGCTTAGTGAGAACTTGTTTTTCTCTTTTCCTGTGAGTAGCAAATCACTGTACATCACTTCCCCATCTCATTGATTTTTTGCTAGAGGGAGTACCAAAGAAGCAGATAAACTGTTTCAACACTCTTTTCAAGCATGTATTTTGTGTGGATGTTTGGGGTTGTTTTTAAACAGACATTTGGCCTTCATCCTGTAAATGAAAGCTTTTATATGGGGTATTTCCTGTTGAAATAGTCCCTAATGTCTCTTTCTTAAATAGAAGTAATAGGTAAGGGCTACTTCCTGTGTCAAGCCTGATGCAGCAGACACAAAACCAGTGACAGAAAGACATCAACTTGTTTGTTTCCTCATGTTGTGATTCAAGCACACACATGCTCACATCTTTTCTAGGTTCTAGAAGAGTGCAGTTATAAGCATGACCTAGACTATTTTTTGCATGTTCTCAAAGCCAAATTGGATGTCAAAGGAAATTTTAAAATCTAAAAGAAGCATAACTTAAATCTGGGACTTGTAGACAGTATAGTTAGAAGGTACACTTAGAGTCAGCACCTTAAAATCCTGAGTTGCTTTGTGGATTTGTTCTGAAGTCTTCAGAGAGTTTGTCTTCTGCAAATTCCAAACATCATTTTGTTCACACTCTAAAGCACCATTTTTGTTTTGGACTGTGTTATACTCTTAATTCTTGGGGGGGGGAGTGGTGTTGGTGTTAATATTTTGGAAATATTTCCTGTTGCTTCTGTAGAATTTGGTAAGACAGACTTCAGGTATTATTATTTAAAATTATTGTGTGTGGTTGGGGGTGGAAACTACAGGTCAAACTTGGGGTGCCTGTACAATATATTGTTGAGTTAAAACTGTACCTGATAGCATAATTTCTTTGTGTGTGTGCATTTGCTTCTCTTCCATGTAGAGAATGGGGAAATCTGTAAGTCTAAATTTCATTTCACTTAAGCAATGTAGACTGTGTTCCATGGTTCTTGTGATCTTGTGTGTGTTTTTCCTAAATCATGATTTGCAGTGTGTGTACTCTTTTGTACCTTGTTTTACATACTGTAATTTGGTATTTATCACTGAAAAAAATTGTTGTGGTTTGTTCATGTTTTCTTCTAAATATTACCCACTTTCCATTCAAGGTAAGTCACGGAATAGGTATGTTTCTGTAAGAATGTAAAATTTGACAGTACTCCTCTGAACCACTGTCATATTTAGTGATTTAATTAATCACATTAAAAAGCAAATTTTTTTTTTTTTTTGTCCTGGAGAAATAGCCCCCATTGTGATATAACTACTTGGACAATAAGGATTAATTTGTTCACAAGGGAACTTTCACTTTTCATCAAATGCCAGTGCTTGCCTTCCTTTTACCAACCCATGCATGTGTAGGAGTAGTGTAGGTTCAGATGTACATTGAGTATGACAGCATATAAAAATGAGACACCACGTCTTTTTGTTGTTGGGTGGAACTCACTTGTGACTGTTCTGCTTTTTTTCAGAGCCCAGTGTTGACTTTAGGTTGTCTGTTTAACAAGTAAAGCTGCTTAGGAAAGTTTAGAAAGCTTAATTTATGTACCCTATATGATTTCAGTTATACCAGTGCTTGAAGGCTAAATAAAGTTAGTCAGCCTCAGCTCACATGTTGTACACAACATAAATTTAGCCAATTTGAGCCTTTATTTCAGTGCTGAATTCTTGCCCATTCTATCACAAATTTACACCCTCTGTAATTCCCCTGCATTTTATCTTTTGTTAAACAGTTTCTACTGTAATATTTATACACCTCTCCAGTTATATGCTGTTGTGTCTCTCTTCCTTTGGTCTTCTCATGCTGTGGCTCTGCTTCTGAAAAACTTAGCTTCAAGTATTCTTTTCATCCATATATTTTTTTTTTGTACAGTTGTTTCTCAGGACAGGTGGCTGCTGTTACAGTAAAACCCCCAGGAGGGACTGATAAACTCAGTTTTGGAAATGTCATTCTGTTGAGGGGAAAATGTGGAGAGAGGAACAATAAAAAAAAATTCAATTAAAATTGATGGGGCTGATCGCCACTAGCCACTAAACTTCAGACCAAATACCCTTTTTTTATTAATTGCCCCTGAAAAGTCAGGGATGAAAATGTGAGATATGCTCCTTTTAGTAGTATTCTATTAATGGCTTTTCCCTTCATAGTTTAAAAAAAAAAAAAAGGGACTTAGCATAGCACAAGTATGTGTGCTCCCTGCATTTGAATGAACCTGTATCTGGCTGCTGTTCTCCACTCCACAGTTCTTTATATCATCTGAGTCACCTCATGTTGCTGGAAGATTTCTGGGATTAAGTGTTGGTGTACTCCCCTGACGTGACCTCTGTCAGTAGAACAAAGTTGTGTTTCTGCTTGTAAATTTTGGCCTCCTAAATATTTTACTTTGGGGAAAAGAGATCTCCTTAATTTCTGTTTACTTGAGCTGGAACAGTGCTGGTGTTTGTGCTGTAAATTGGGTTGCTGGTAGTGGAATTGAACAGACGCCAGATTTGATCAGGCATTCTTTAGAGGATGTCTGATGTCCTGCTGGTACTAACCTGCCAGTCGTCTCTCTGTCACAGGACAGTATGTGAAGCCAGCTGAGCAGGGTACAGCTGTGCTTTTACTGTGAGACCACTACTTACAGCACTAAGAGAACTGCACAGGAGAGTGATCCAAGTGTCTTACAGCAACATTCCAGCATCTCTGTTCTTGTGGTGTGCTGTCACCCCATGTTTCTGAGGGTCCCCTCAGAGTGACTCGCTTCACTTGTAAAGAATCTAATTTAGGGCAGCAGATCTCTTGGACAACTGGGCTTAGGCAGAGTCTGGATATTTCTGTTGCACTGTAGGATGTGACTCATTTCCAGTCTTGGCTAGTTTTGCACAGATGGCTGTTTCTCAGGAGCTATAAGGAAACCATTCTTTTTTTTGTTCTGAAGAACGACAAGATCATTCAAGGTAGATCCTAAAATAAGGAAAGCTCTGAAGTTCTAGCAGTTTCCTCCTCTTGTGCCCAAATTTATTATGGTATTTATGAACACAAGAAGCAAAGCATTAGTTAATATTGATAATGTAAGAGGCCAGTTTCAGTTTCAGGTCTTTGCTTATTGCCTTAATCTTACAACACGAGACACTAGTAATCTTTCCATAAATTCCATGCTGTTCCTGAATTTTACAAGATTACTAGAAGCCTGGTGGAGAATGTTTCCAAAGGAACAAAAGGGAAATTTTGTACAGTACAACATAAATATTGTAATCTTTCCATTGCATTCCTGCAATTTCTTTGGAATTTCTTGCACAAATCCAGTTAATTTTAAATGTAATTCAATATGGTGGATTCTCAGTGGTTTTGACTAAACTTAATTTCCATTGAGATTTAGTTTTGTGTCATCTTTGTAAAAGATAACTGACAATTGGAAGAATTGTGCATTTTTGGCCATCTGCTTAGATTTGCTTGAACTTCAGAGTTAAATGTTCTTTTCACAGGGGAAAAACTTTTAAACCTAGGTTTTGCATTTTTCTCAAATTTATTTTGAATGTGTACAAATACTGATCATGAAAATAGCTTATTCTATGTGCATGTAGATTAAACTTACTGATTCAAATACGTAACATAAAATTGAAATGTGTAAGAATTGTGACAATACTTAAAGATGCTTGTTTGCATGCTAGGAATCAGTCGAATGTCAGAAGAATGCACACAGCTGTGAAGCTCAATGGAGTGGTGCTTAATAAATCACAGCACGCTCAGCTCGTTCTCCTGAATATGCCTGGACCTCCTAAAAACAGAAAAGGGGATGAAAACTGTATCCTCTACTAGATTGCTTCCATATTGCTCAAAATGGGCAGTTTGACTTTTCTGTGGTTGCACCATTGTCTACTTGCTCTAGTATAGCCATTGGTAACCATGGTAAGCCTGCATTTGCCTTTAATAGAACAACCATAGATTTCACACAGTTTTAAGAAATGATAGTGGTGAGTTTTTTTTCACTGAATTGATTTAATTGTATTCCTCAATTTTGAACTTATTTTAAAATATCTGTTTTTATCTTTACTGTAGGTGAGTAGGGCAGAACTTTAGATTTTCCCCAAATTAGGCCTTGCTTCCACTTGGGCAATAATTACATAATGGTTACCTAATGGGACAGTAAAGGGCTACACAGGAAAACTCACTAACAAAATTGCTGAACTTCACTTCTGTGTTATGTCAGGCTTTTTAGAGAGATTAGTGGTTATTTTGTTTCTTTTCTGAATAAATTCCTTGACTTAATGATATTTCAGACATGGAGTTTTTAGAAGTTCTGACAGAAGGTTTGGATAGAGTTCTCCTGGTCCGAGGCAGTGGACGTGAAGTGATCACCATTTATTCTTAACCTGTTTGCACATTTTGTTCAACAGACACCCATCACCTCCCCACAAAATAAAAAAATCAAGAAAAACAAACCCACAGAAACCCCCCCAAAACCCCCTCAAACCCCACAAAGTTGTTTCCCATAACTTGAGCAGCTTCATTAAGAGTGCTAGTGCATTGAGAAGCACCTGCAGGCTGAATCTTCTGATGATGTGTTCTGTTTTTTCTATTAAAAATTTATATTTAAATTATATTTTAAGACTTATGTAGAAAATATTTCTGTAGTGAATTAATAAATGGTGGAGGGGTTAGGATATTTTTATGTAGCATTTTCTGATACTTGTTAAACTGTGGTGAAATACAAAAGAAACAGTAATACAATTCTATTTTTAAACATAGAAATGTAAGCAACTTTTTATGTAGATGCAGAACAAAGATTGAAATCATCAAAAGGGGAAGATTTTAGGAAAAGCTGGCTTCCTCCCTTACCAAAAATGCTGCTGTGTTTCATCTCTTGGGGTTAGTCCTGGTTCAGGAAACTTCTTTCAGAAATGCGTTACAACCACTCAAATTTGTATATTATGTGCATAGTGTTTCCCTGAAGTTCATGATTTGCCACACTTGTTTTAAATTTCTCTGTTTTAAAATACATGGTCAGGTAGCCAAAGCCTCCAGTAATACTAAATTGACGAGTGTGGGGTTTTTGAGGAGCTAGTGGCAGTTGTCATGTATTGCACAGTTGCACCAGTGCAACCTGGGAGCGTGCGAGGCACAGGAAGGCTGCGGCGCAGTGACTCCACCTGGCTGCAAACAGAGTTCTAACGACTGGTAAACCACAGCAAGTCTGTTAAAAGTGCAGTGTCTTGGTTTCAAACATGTATATTTTGAAAATGTTGTATGTATGTCCTGCTGTTTAAATAAAAATCTGCTTTACTGAACTGGATGAAGTTTTAAGTGTTTTTCATTTGAAATTGAACTATTTCATTTAGGTGCTCAATAGAAACTTGCTGCTTCTGTGAGAATTCTGCCTTTTTTTGGACACTGTTTAGTTTTGTAAGTGTTAAGACCTAAAGTGTTTGTGGGGTATCAGAAGATTTTTCTACTCTAAAAATAATTAATTTTATTAAATATATATTTAATATTTTTATTGTTTAAAATATATATTATTTTTATCTTTAAAATATATACTTAATATTTGTTTAGATACATGAAAGCTACTATTTTATAATGCAGTCAGCAAGTCTTGCTCAATCTGGGCCAGTAGTGATGCAGGACCCAAATACCCGACCAGACTCAAGGCCAGTGCTTTTATCATAGCTCTCTTGGGCAAAGCAAAACAGTCACAAACAGGAAAGGCTGCAAGCAGCCCTTACCAGCTGCCAAGGTGTAGGGTTGGGGCTGTGTGCTGGACCTATAACAGATGCTCTCTGTTAACCCCTTTTCCCTCCCCAAAGGTGAAAAGAAAGGGAATACGGAAGAGAAACTTATGGATTAGAAGAGAACTAACACACCTTTAACAAAAATAAACTGGAATATATACAAATCCACTATTGAACGCCACCATGCTGATGGCAATAATGGTATATACCACTGTCAGCACCGATGCTACCCAGCAGCTACTGGAGAAGTCCCAGACTGGCCTTGGTGGCGGACAGGAACTGGATTCAGGAGCTGTATTCTGGAACTGGATTTGGGAAAACACGTGGATTGAGACAAGGCAGAACGGAGTCCTCTCGTGGGAGCCATTGAAGAATAGAACTTGCCCCTTATGATCCCTCAGCTTTATACTGGTTATGATGTATATAGAATGGAACACCTTGCTGGTCAGTTTAGGGTCACCTGGCCTGTCTGCTGCTCCCTGCAGGTGCAGCCTTTTACTTTCTGCACCTCTACTGTGGTATGCAAGATTTAGCAGTGACCTTTGCATACCAGTCCTTGGTGTAATTACTGCTGGAAGCAGACACTGTCTATAAAACTATGCTGGAGGCAGTGCAGATGGTTTTATAGAATAATAGAATGTATTGGGTTGGAAGGGGCCTCCAAAGGTCATGTAATGCTGGTTTCCCCTGCCCAGGTGCAGGACTTTGCACTTGGCCTTGTTGAACCTCATGAGGTTCACCTGAGCCCACCTCTCCTGCCCATCCAGGTCCCTCTGGATGGCTTCCTGTCCCTCTGGCATGTCAACTGCACCACCCAGCTCAGTATTGTCAGCAGCCTTGCTGAGGGTGCACTCAGTGCCACTGTCTGTGTCACTGATGAAGATGTTAAACAGCACCGGTCCCAGTACAGACCCTTGAGGGACACCACTTGTCCCTTTTGACCAGCCAGACATGGAGCCATTGGCCACTACTCCCTGGGTGTGACCATCCAGCCCATTTCTTATCCACTGAACAGTCCACCCATCGAACCCATCTCTCTCCAACTTAGAAAGGAGGATGTTATGGGGGACAGTGTCAAAGGCCTTGGTGAGGTCAAGATGGATGACATCCACAGTTCTTCCCTTGTCCATTGATGCAGTTGCTTCACTGTAGAAAGCTACCGAAAGTTTTAGGGGATGATGAGACCCAGCACAGGCATTCAAAGCTGGCAGCTTTCTTCAGGGAGGAGCAGTGGGTGACCTGTTTTCCCCTGCCCAGCTGCTCTCAGCCAAGACACACTCTGGCCCATTCTGAACACAAAATGTGTCCAAGCCTGCAGGAACAAAGGAAGGTGGTAGCTTCAAATTTCTGGGGGCAGTGCAGATGGTTTTAGGGGATGATGTGATCCAGCACAGGAATTCAGAGCTGGCAGCTTTCCTCAGGGAGGAACAGGGGGTTACTTTTTTCCCTTTGCGAGATGTTCCCAGCTAAGAAATAGTCTGAGCTGTTCTGAATGCAAAACCTATCCAAGCCTGCAGGCTAAAGGGAAGGGGGTAGCTTCAGATTTCGGGGAGGTGGAGTGCAGAGGGTTTTAGGGGATGATGAGATCCAGCACAGGCATCCAGAGCTGGCACATTTCCTCTGGGAGGAACACTGGGTTACTTTTTTTTCCCTTTGTGAGTTGGTCCCAGCCGAGAAATAGTCTGAGCTGTTCTGAGTACAATACATCTCCAAGCCTGCAGGCTAAGCTGAGGTGCCATCTCCAAATTTCAGGGGGGAGTGCAGAGGTTTTAGGGGATGATGAGACCCAGCACAGGCATTCAGAGCCAGCAGCTTTCCTCGGGGAGGAAGAGGGGGTTACTCTGACACGGAAGTTCACTGGACAGCAGAGTTGTTGGCGTTAAGGAGGGGCGTGCAGGGGCTCGCTCTGCCTCGTGGGCTCCTCCGAAGGCTGGGCGCTGAACTCTGATGCAAGTTGTGCACACAGAGTCATGGCAGTTCCCAGAAAGCTCAACCCCTTCCCCAGAGTCACTGTAGTATCTCCCCAGCGTATGAGCTTGGGATTTCTCGGTCTCTGACGCCATCCAGAGCCCTAAAGTCATTACTGCCATCTCTCCAGTGGTCGTTTACTTCAGCCAGCGCTCGTTCCTCTTCTTCATCACGGTGTTCGCTAGCTGACCCCTCTTTGTCTGCACATGCTCACTTTGATTTGGCTTGCAGAAGAGGAAACAGTGATCTATCTGACCAGTTATTTCTAGTTCTGAGACCAAGCCAATCATTGCTCCTTCCTGCTTCAGTTCCTACGTACAAAGATCTATACAAACTGTGTAAATGCTAAAGTTAATCACTATCTTATTTGGCTAAGCTATTGTGGCTGTTAGCTTCTGCTTGAGCCTCTAATACTAAGCAAGTTTCTGTTAACCAATTTCTCCCTATTCAGTCCCTTTTTTCAACTCCCCCCTTCTCGATAACCTTGCAAATTCTTTCACAACCACTTATATAGAGTACATTTCTACAAAATACCATTTGCCCCTAATGATTTGGCAAAATACTTTCCTGACTGTAGTTGGTATCTCAGCTTATGCCTCTTCCAATCTTCATAATCTCTTTGGGTTAGTCTGGCCAAACGCTTTATCAGGATCCACAGTTTAACATACATCACAATTATTAGGACAAAGCACGTTGTGACAAATATCAGCTATACAAGAACAGGATGAAGCATCTTGTTGAAGGTTCCTGGTGCCATCGGTGACCACACAAAAAGAGCACTCCACCATTCATGTTGCCTGTCCTTAACTCTCTTCAGTACCTGATGTATTTTTTTCCACATTATGATGGATGGTTATCAAAGTCTTTTGTCCACTTTCTTGGGCCTGTTTCGCTAACTGCTTCAAACCATCATGTTGGAGCAACTTCTTTACTAAAGTGAGATTCATCCCAATAGGATTAAGTTGTAACTCATGAATCAACATATAGTTAGACTGCAACAATTGATAGGAGGTTACAGGAGCTGAATACTCAAAATCACACCCTATAATTCTTGTGAAATTGCAAACACCAATATTTGAATGATTATTTATATGCACACTCACATCCTCTACAACTATGGAATCACACAGTGTTTTTATACAAACATATCCTTTCCCAATATATACAGTACAGTTTCTGAGGTTTCGTTGGGATGTATTTCAAAATGGCAAATTTTTTGTTCAGTATCCAGACAAATGTCTTGTCTGTCTATTAAAATAAAATTTTAATAGATAAAAGATATAAAAAGATAAAAGTTTATCTTCACAAATAAATCCTTGCTGCTCTTGTGTGAAACAGGTGTCAACATCAAGTGTTTGCTGTTTGTCTCCATTCCGCTGAACCCATACTCTGTGCTCTGTAGGATAAAGTGTGGTTCCCGTACGATTTCTGCCTAGTGCAAGGATGGGGTATATAGTATATGCTGATGCATTGTAAATAGTTACAATGAAAGTTGTGCCTTTGCTTTTAGCAGCATCATAAGTGAAGTTAATAAATGCCACCAGGAATGGAATCTCCTTTCAAATTCAGTCACGTCCCATATGATTTTCTGAATCTCTGTGCGTCAAGTTCCTTCCTCACTTCCCTTTATAATGGTAGCTACTAACCGTACCCATAATTGGGCTTGGACACAACT